GCCGGGGTTACACCCCTACTCTTTTGGTTCTGTAGGCTGTGACCCCAGAGTCTGCTGCTAAGCCTTACTGCTGAGCTTCCCAGTCACTTAATTGAACCCGTAATTGAGTTTGAAGTTCTTAATTAGAGATCTTTCCCCCCACTGAGAGTGGCTAATTACAGTGTTAGCAGTGAAAAGATATACTGATTTTTTGTTAAAGTATAAAAATCAATAATGAATTCAATTAGGAGCGTGATTAAGTATTCCAGATCTCAGCCAGAAAATAAACGGGTAGAAAATAGGAGCTACAGGCCAATATTGAAAAGCCCTGAGCAGGGATGATTGCTGCATTGCATATGATCTTTAATAGATTACTCACAGCAGGGAAGCGCCGTCTTAATAATTCTGGCTTCACATTAGTTTGCACTGAGCTGCTGGTGTTCATTCTGTCAGTCACGGAGACTAGACGTCCGTGGAGCTGCTATTTATTCCACTGTCCCTAGCAGGGTATCATCGCGCAGACCGTCTTATAGATGCACAGTAAATGCAAACAGTTCTGTCGCTTTCCAGCGGCGTACAACGGGGGAGGCGTTTCTTATTGAAACTACTTAGGGCCAAGTCCCAGGAGGCGGCGAAGCGACCGAAGAGAGAAACTTACTGTCGCTGGTGCTTTACTGCAAAGACCGATCCCATAGCGTCCTCTACCGGGCAATAGTGGTCAAAGAATACTAAATTATTGCTAGTATGATAAATCAGACGGACTCCTTCATTCAGAAGAGAGCAAATAAAAAATAAAACGCCAAAGAGTGAAAGCAAGCCGTGGTGTTTTCATTTAGCATGCACGGAGATGCACGATTTTTCTGTGCATATACACAATTTAACGCATTAAAACATTGTTAATATTTCTTCACGGTACCACATAGAGCTGTCGTATCAACTTTTTAACAGCGCTCAATTGTTCGGGGCCCGTCCCTCTGGTGAAGCAGTTAAAACACACACACACAGTTTATAATCGAGGCGGCGTGAAAATGGCCAATTCTCACAGGCTCGTCAAAGACGCAAACACTGCGAGCAGACACGCCCCTCCTCTGATTTTCCAATTACGCGCTTAATCACCAGAACCTGCGACCCGCCGCCCTCGCTGAAGTACATATAGGGGCGCGAAAGCGCTGGGAAGCGTCTTCATAGAAGACAGTGGGAGCGAAGTGGAGAGAAGAGATCGCGAAAGTCTTTCCTTTGGAGGCGGAGACGTGGGGGAGATGGATCTCCTCTCGGCGGCGGTGGACGCCATGCCGCGCCAGCAGCTCTTCAACTGCGGCCACCCGGCCTGCGGCGCCGCCTTCACGCGCGAGTGGCGGCTCAGAGAGCACCAGACGGTGCACACCGGCGAGGTGCGCTCTCTCGGCCTGATCCCCCCCCTTCTCAAGGGAGAGGGGACTTCAACGTCTTAAATAATGTGGCCTTGATTTCGCGGGGGGACAGATTTGATGTGCTCTAACCAGAACTGCCCACAGAAGCGGTGGGATTGGGGTGCCTTCAAACATGGCAGCGGGTATACGGGGCAATTTTTTTTTAATGGCGCTAGTCCTCTGTTAACGGCAGCTGCGCATTATTTTATTTTTTTTGTCCATAGCGGCCGCTGGCATGCGATATTCCGGGCTGTGGGTTGAGGTTCTCAAGGAAGGCTCATCTGAGACGCCACCAGTTGAAGCACACCGGGACGAAATCATTCAGGTTCAAGCAAGATATTCGCATCGGGCTGTGTTTTAGCTGCCCTATAGTTTTCCCTGTGGTAACACCAGAGGCCTTGTGTAACCGCTTAAGGGACACGTTAGGCATCTATAATTAACGTGTTCTCAGTGTGACTTGCTAGTATGAGACTTCTATACAATAGTCCAAGTCATTTTGTAATGAGTTGTGGAAACTTTTTTTTCTATCGCAGTTGTACCCATTTCGGTTGCTCCCAGTCCTTTTACAGCTCGGACAACCTGAAGAGACACGTCCAATACGCTCACGGCGATAAGGACAGCTATTTCAAGGTGCGTACGGCAGAGGGCGCCAGATACCATCAATGGCTGGTCGGCGGTGTTGATCTGCTTCTAGGCACGGTCGATGTATAGAAGTTTTCGTGGGGTGTGAACGACTGTTAAACTTCAGGCTTCTTTATTGTAGGCTTTGGGCTTTCAGTTTCTCTGATGCATGTCTGCCAACATTGTGCTGTAATCTTGAAATGTCCCACCTCTGACCCCAAGCTAATTGGCTTAATTGGATCAATGTATAACGCAGCAACTCAGTTGCCGTTTTGCATAAACTTAAACCTGCTGTATTCTGACTGTCCAACTCTGCAGCCATGCTAGAAGGTGGTGACCCAGGTTTTTCAAGAAGTGGCTGGATCAAGTCTAGTCATGAAGATTACAGCTGTGCAGAGGCTGTCTGGGCTGTCTAGCACATTGTTAAAGTCCATGTCCTGGACAATATGGTAGCCTGCTCCAGACTCCCACAGCCCATCTAGATCAGGAGTGTCCAGTCCTGGAGGGCCAGTCTGTCTGATGGTTTTCAAAGTCTCTTTAAAGCAGCAGCAGCACCCGAAGAGCTGAGCTGGGAGAAGCAGAAATGTATAACCAGCTGGGTTTGCTGCTCTTAAGATCATTTGAAATGAGACCCCACAGACACTTGGCACTCCAGGGTCAGGATAGCTGCCACTTAATTGGCAGCTAGCAACTGAACAAGCCAGATGGGCCCAGATGACCTCTTGTTTGTGACTGACTGGAATTCTGTGCTTATTCTTCAATCCTTTCCCCTCCTGCAGTGTACTTCTGAAAACTGTGACAAGACCTTCAGGAAACGCAAAGCTTACAGGATTCACTTAAATGAGCACAACCCTACTCTGGCTTTCAGGTGAGTCTGCATGACTTCTTGTCAGGGGGCTGCTCTTGAAGGAGCTGGGATCTTCAGGGGTTGTTGGTATGTTTCGAATGCTGGTTCCATGTTAGCACCCATGTGCTCGAATCGGTAGTTAACTGGCATGTTGTCCCATAGCTGGTAGGCTTCCAATAGACTACTTAAGGTTTGTATGCATATTAACATGCAGTGTTAGTATCCATAATATACACTGTTAACCACTGGCTTAACATCTAGGTACTGGGACCCCCTTCCCCCCCCCCCCTTAATTGATCCAAGATGCTTTATTGAAATTTGCATTTGTTTCTGATTTTTATTTCACAATTGTTTAGTGGTTAAAGCTCCAGCAGGTTTGAGAGCTGTGAGGGGCTTGGTTGTGTAACTGAGGGCTTGGCTGGAACAGGCCAACAGGTGTGGGTGGGCCATCAGGAATAAGACACCACTGATCTAACCTATCCCAGCTCATGCTTGGGGAACAGGTAAAGGTTCCTTCCATGCTGAAAGGAGATGTCGGCTGTGGAGCCTTCTTCAGATGTGAAGATCTGAAGAAAACCCAAATCTTTTCAGCACGGAATAAACCTTTGCACCTTATGCATGCTGTCGGCTTTTTGCTCGCTAGCAAGGACCTTATCAATTGTTGCTGTTAAAAAAAAAAAAACACTAAAGGCACAACTTGCATTAAAGCTGACAGGTTTGAGTGTTTTGGTACATTAAGTGCCTCGTGCAATTGAAGGCACCTGGCTCTCAGCAGGAATACAGACCTATCTGGGTTTTGCTTTAGCCTTTGCTGTGTAAGGTGCAGGCCTTTTAATCTGGTCCACTTTTATATAAAGTAGGAAGCGTTTCTCGTGTCTGTTTTCTAATTTTAGCAGCTAAATAAAGCAGTGTCACGTAGGATAGGCTTTTCATTGGCCGTGACCCCAGCGTTTGGCTTTTTCTGGATGTTACTTCATTAAGCCCTTAATTCATGAGCACACGGCTCCAATCCTGGAGAGCTAGAGGGTGTTTCTTTCCACCTGAGCCCTCGGTTACTTAACTGATCCGATTTACATAATCCGTCCAATCGAAGCCTTTTCTTAATCTGGGGATTGAAGCCTTGAGGACTGGCCCTGGGTGTCCCCTGCCCTCCCGTGTCCAACTGGCTTCAGTTTGTTGCCCATGACATGGGTAACCTCATACCTCGCTTGAACTGAAAACTGCTCCCAAGTAACTTATCAAGAAGTCTCAATTCAGCTGGATCAGGAGGTGTGGATCCCCAGGAGCAGGGAAGGGGGGGCTGTCCTGTGGACTACTTGATCACACTGGACAGATTCCTGCCTGTGACCAGGAATGGTAACCGTGCAATACGTGATCACTCCCACAGTGAGATGCCTGCTGCAGGGGTGGTCTTAACCAGATGGGGTGGGGGTACCGAGGGTAACGGGTGGTTAATCTTAAACCAGAGGTCCCCAGGGTAAGAAGTTGGCTTCTTGAACAAGTAAATGTTGTAATGCCCTGCTCGCTGTCAAGACTCATGTGCTTGTTTGCAAGTTTTGGTTGCAAGATCTTCTTGCTGTTGCAGGTGTCAGAAAGACGGCTGTGGGATGACCTTTGAAACCAGGGCAGCTCTCAAAGCCCACCAGAAGACCCACGCAGGTGCAGTCGAGCTGTTCTCCACCCTGGGACTGTCCAAAGCCAGTGAGCCGTAGCCTTGTCAGTCTGGGGATCTCTTTAAATGGAAGAGCCCCACCTCTGATCCTAGCCAGGATTCTACTGCAAAGGGTCACATGTCTGTCTACAGACCAAGTGAACCGAAAGTGCCAAGCTTACTCTTTTTAGAGCTGGATGTGGAGTTACCTGATGGGGCCATGCAGTTTCACTGCACTTAAATGTCAATTTCTGGCCTTTCAAGCATTTCTGGAGCATATGGGTTCTGATTGGAGTTATTCCAGTCTTTTTTTTTTTTACCACAAATCCTTGTCCACACTTGATGGGTGGGGGATTAAATCTTAACTGTCAGGAGATGTAGTGGTAGGGTGCTGCCAAACCAGCTTTCGTGCTGGGAAGAAACTAGGCCTGTTGAACACTGATCTCCTGTGTGCTATAATGTGTGTAGAAGTATGGTTGTGTTCTTGAATGACATGACGGGTACCTCAATATGGTTTTTTGAGTGCAGGTGAGAAACATTCCGCAAGCAGAGATTCATTTAGTGGGGATCTGGGAAGTGATCAATAGCCCATCTGATGGTCAGGACCTTCCAGCTGGCCTTGCGGAAACTTGATTGCCCATCATGGTGGCTTAAGATCTAAATTTCTTCTGGAAAAGAAACCTTGGTATTCACACTGACCCCCTTTTTTTTTTTCTAGGGTACCCCTGCCGTGATTCCAGCTGCCCAGTGGTTGCGCCCACATGGGGGAAACTCTGCAAGCATATGGCGACGCACCCAGGTAATCTTTCTTGGACTTCCTGACGAAGATACGAGTGTTGCAGAAAGACTTATGGTACCAGTGTCTGGACTGTTGTATATGGCCACCCAGGACTGACCTTGCATGTACTGTAAACAAGTTATGGCCCTGAATTTTATTAAGATGGTAAAATGTTCAGTTTTTGTGCTTCTAGAAATGCATATGTGCAGGGCCCCACCCTTTAAGTAGAAACCAAATCCTGTCCTTGATCTGCAACTTCCAATTAGTAGCTGGTTAAAGCAGGCTTCCCTGAATCATCATGGTTTTGATAGCTCCTTTTTATAAAACTGCATTAAAACCATGACCAAATTTTGGCTGCAAAGCTAACATCTGATAATGGTGAGCACAGCATGAGCAGTGGCTTCATGAGCATCAATGGCGAGGAGAGCCCCCCCCCCCAATCCAAAAATGGTGACTGTGGGGCTGTTATGGCAAGGCCATTGTTGGCACCCAGGTTGTGCCACTTCCTGTGCTCAAGTATTTGTCATTTGAAGTGTTACCTGATCCAAGGTGCTTTAATTAACTAATGAAGGTGGGCTGGAATGAGGACCAGCAGGTGCATGTTGGGTAGGGGGTCACCAGGACCAGGGATTGGGGAACTGCTGCTGTACAGGGTCTCCAGCAGTGAGCACTTGAAGGTTCTGGATCGTGTAACTGCTGTGTTGGGGCGGTCCTCTCCGAGTGAGCGGCTGGACGCCCCAGCGGGAGCAGCTCAGGTTTGAGGTCTCCCCTCGTCTGTCAGGGAAGTACCTGTGCCCGCTCTGCCCGGCCGAGTTCAAGACGCGCCAGTCCCTGCGCCGCCACAAGCGCTCGCACACCCGGGAGAAGCCCGTGCTGGCGTGCCCCAACGAGGGCTGCGCCGCCTCCTTCACCACCGCCTTCAACCTGCAGCACCACATCCGCAAGGAGCACCTGAAGCTGTTCAAGTACCGCTGCTACTACCCCGACTGCCCCAGGGTCTTCGCCATGCGGGTGAGTGCCCTCTGTCCCTCTGCAGGCCCTCGTTCTCCCCATACGGCAGCGGCTCCACTCCTGGTCCTGTCCACCCGTTGGCTTTGTGTTCCAGCTGAGCCCTTGGTTACACAACCACGCCCTCCATTGACTTAAAATCTCAAAATTCACCAGTAAAAGTTAATTTCCCTTACAAATTTGTGACTAGAAGCAACTTCTTAATTGACACTTTACTCAATCTAAGGCGTGTGGGTCACCAGGATTGGGAACCACTGTTGTGGTGTTAGTAGCAGTAAGCAGTGCATGATAACATGGCAAATTCAAATCCGTGTATAATTACTTGTAGGCTTTGTGCATCTAGTTTTTGTATATACTGTATGGAGGAGTCGGTCCATTCTGACATCTGGAGATCCACTTAAAAGGACATAATAGATGCAACTGCCTTAATCCGAGAATTTAAAATGCATTGCAAAATACCAGTGAGTTTAAATGCAGCATTGGAGTGCCCCTCTGAGATCCACTCATTAAAGTGTGCAGCCGGAGCAATGCAGTGGAATTCCATTGGGGTCAGAATTGTATGAGTGGCATAGTTGTTTAAGTGGAGAGGCTGAGTGTTGAAGAGGTGAAAAGCACTAATGGAACCTGTTGGGAAGCCATCAGCGACTAGTGCCTTCATTCAACTAGAATTCAGAAAACCCACCTGCTTTTATGTGCTTGAGTTATTTGTAGCTTGGACACAACAATCATTACCTGCATCTTGCTCTGGGGTGCTGGCTGGGTCGAAACCCCCTTAAAATTCATTTAAAACTTTTTTTTTTTGGGTGACTTAATCAGATGAGTAAATCCTCTTAGTCATTTAAGCTTGGTTTCTAATTAGCTGTTAACAGCAAACGCTTTTTGTGAACAGTGCAAATTCTGCCTAATTTCACAGCAAGATCCTACTTCATAAAAGCGTAATGCGTCAATGGGTTTTGGACCCAATCAGGAGAGTAGTTAAATGTGTAAAACTGCTGTGGCTATAATTTGAAATCCATTTTCATGAGTGCACATCTACAAGCTGTAATGCAAAATGCTAATCTTGGCCTATGCTGAGATATATTGGTGAACCCAGTGACTTTATACTCGGCAGCAAAACAAACTGGTGCTGTAAGAGGAACTGTTCTCATCTCTTGCACGTGAAGTTTTAGCAAGCTGCCAGGCTGAAGTAATTGCCAACTGGGTTTTCTGAGCTCGTTTCAGGAACATCCGAATACAGTTCTTGGATCAATGCTGTTAGTGCTTTGGGCCAGATAGCCTCTGCTTGTTGGCTGCTTTGTTGTGCTCATCGCTGCATGGCCTTTCTTTTCAGGAGAGCCTCACCAGGCACGTTGTCCATCATGACCCGGAGGGGAGAGTGAAGGTAAGCCCAGGTGCTCAGGTTTCCCACTGGGAAGGGTGGGTTTTAAGGGATCAAAGCTGCAGTGTGTTCACTTCCTCATTCTGCCAATGCAAAGACGTGGCCGTCATAGTTCTTAAATGATCCCTGCATGTGGACAGTTGACTTAAGGAGGCCTGTCTTCATGTTCACCAAGGTCTTCCACCAATGCACTGGCAAATCCTTATCTTGAATTTCCAAATGCACTTGTTCACTTCAGCTGGAGTGGCTTTAAGAAATGGCCTTGTTGGCAACTTTGTCTGATGCTGTATAAATTGCCCACAGGTAGTGTTGGGAGGGGGGCTCAAACGGAGTTTAAATTGCCTTGGGTTTGGACACTTAACACCCTTATGTGTTGGAGAATTCAATTTTAAGTAGGCAAGTTCCCAAACCATTTTGGATCGGTCAGGAAGGTGACTGACCTGGTTTCTCTAAGCTGTAGTCTCTGCAGGGCAATGCTGAGAAATCCTACTCTGACATGCTGTAGAACTGTCAACAGATGGATATGTCCTCTGAGTCTTGCCCGTTCCCATGAGCAGAGTTTAACTGACTTAACTTGGACCATTGATTATATATTTTGCCATGCCTTGGTTAATGGGTGCATGTTAAATTTTTACCTTCCTCCAGAGTATCTTTTTTTTTTCTCTTCTGTATGAAGTTAAGATGTTGATTGTTGATCCCAAATATAAACTGGGGAATGCAGAAATTTCCAAATATTGGAAAGCAATATTGAAGGGCAGGTCTGATGTGGTCATGTGGGTGTCATGGTCTTGTACTGTGTGAGAATGGGAGGGGCCTGGCTGTGGACCCTGACCCATCATTGGTTGCAGCTGGTGCAGCAGCGGTCCAGTAGGAAGTGGCAGAAGAGGCGGGGGGGCGGCGGCCAGCGCAGGGCGCTCCTGGTGGAGGAGGACCTCAGCCGGCTCTTCGCCCTGCGCCTGCGCTTCCCCGGCCGCGGCAAGGTGGAGGCCGACCTCTCGGGGCTCTTCAACGAGCGCAAGATCCCTCACCACGTGGAGCCCGAGGTCAGCCTGCGGGAGCTGTTCGACCTGAAGCCCAACAGGGTCGTCAACGCCACCCCTTAGAGGCCCACGCTGGGGGGAGTGAGTGTTCGCTCTGGAAATGTTAAAGAGGATTGGAAACTAGTTTTTTCTTTACTACACAATGCCTCTGGGTAGGGGTTCCTGGCTGTTGATCTATAATTTTAGCTGAGTCTTAAGTTGGGGAGTTTTGCCTTTGTTTGCAATAAACTGCGCTTTCTCCTTTTTTTTTTGAATGGCAAGTTGCTGCGCATTGCTTTGTTTACCTTGATGGTGTTGAGAGGCTTATGTAACTTGGCAAAGTGAAATTTGTAAAGCTGGGCCCTTTCCAATAAAGTGCAGGATTTTTTTTTTTCTTATGCGTACTGTTCTGCAGTTGCTTCTTTGAGATCCAATAGCCTGTGGTACTGGGCTTTCAGGGCATGACCCACCCTTGGTTTAATGAGGTGGGTTGGGTGGGTGGAGAGTGTTCCTGACACTGAGATCCTTTGACTTGAGCAATTGGTTAAATTTGTAGCTGTTCTATCATGAATAGTTTCATACTTCATCTACACTAAAGCATACAAATATCCCATCCTAAGCAACTGACCTTTGAGGGCACCATTTAATACATCTGAATTTTAAACCTACTGCATTTCTTTCCTCCTGTTATTGCTGGATAAGTCTGGCAGTTACAGGTTTAGACAAATCCCCTTCAGCAGATTGGAGTCTGAAGTCTCAAACAGACAGTTTACTGTTCCAGTGGGGTGTCTTGTATGTTGGGGGGGACTAGTTCATAGCAGGGCTCTAGCATTGTGCTGGTGAAGGGGGTAAGAGTATTTTCCCCATGATCAGAGCTCTGCTGGCGAGGTCTATCTCCATACAGCGAGTATGTGCTTGTGGGAGAGTGGGGCTGGTAGAAGGGCTTTCCTATGGAAAGTTGGCATGTTGCAATGGGATGTGGGGAGGGAGGGGGTCTCTGTGGTCTCCTATTTTATGCCGAGCTTGATAAAAGGTAATGGAGGGATCCAAGTGTTAACTATCACTGTGCTGGATCTTCTGGGGAAGACCTGAATGGTTACCTTCCAGAATGCTACTCAAGTGCAGAGTGAAATCAAGTGATCTTGGTCTCCCATGTGTGGATTATGGCTGGCAGTAGTAAGTAGCTTTGCCTGGGTACTTTGTTTTAGATCTTAATAGAGGTAGCTTGTGGCCTCCCACGTTTTTGCATGATGTGAAAAATTGGTATTAATTTGCAAATACAATGTGAAGTTAGCACCTGAATTAAGTGCTAAACCTGGTCTGGCTCAGTTACAACATTTAAATGTCTGCTTTTCTGGAGCTCTCCCTCACTCATGGGTTGAATATGTATTTTGAGTCTAACAGCAATTGCATAGTGATGTGCAAAGTTTTGGATAATTTTTAGTTCAAGGTTAATCATGGTTTTTGTAGTGGGGGAAGAAACATGGGGCTAGTTGTAGGTGGATGCTCACCATCGAGCTGGTCTGGCTAGTTTTTAATAGGATTTCCTGTGCAGGCTGTAAGTAGGCTTTTCAACTTGTTATATCAGTTAAGACGACTCACGGTGCTTTGATTTCCTTGTGTGCTTCGTTCTATTTTGTAAGCACTTAAGCTAGTGGGATTTTGGGGGGTCTAAAGCACCTCTGTGGGCTCCGTCAGTCTGGGACGGGGGGGACACCTGAGTCCTCTACAGCATGTGCTGCTGAATCGAAGATGGGGACATCTCTGGTATCTCTGCACCCCTCTGGAGCAATGCAGCACCCCCTGTACAGTGGTAATTGGAGAGCACCCGATGCTCTGTAGGTGCTGGTCTTTGTTGGCAGGTGTGCAGAACTCTTCCAGGAAGTGAGAGGTTGCAGTGTGTGTTCCTGGGCTCTAGAATTGGGGGAGGATGTGACGCTGAGGGAATAGCGAGACTTGGAAAGCTTGCAGTGATGATGGTACTTTAATTGATGCCACCATTCTATGAAGAATAATTAGAATCAGGTGTCAAAGGGTAAGGTACTTCACATGTTATGAAAGGATTATCAAGATGCTGTCAATGCCAATATCTCATCTGAAGGAGGCCCTACAGCTGAGATGTTCTTTTCTCAACCTTACAGCGGGGAATCAATATGTGCCTGGTGTAATACTAATATTTGCAACTTGAAATCTGGGCTCTACAAAACAGCCTACACTCCACAGTGCAATGGGAAATTACAGAAGGAAAATAAACTTCTGTAGCTTTAATTTAACGGTCTTAATGATCCATTTTATCCCGTTTCAGCCGTTTGAATCTCGTCGAGGTGGGGCGACTGTTGGCAGTAGCAGTCTTGCCCATAATTTTCTTTAATTGTTCAGTTAAGCTGCTCTTCACTGATTTCTACTGCAGCACCTTCAGAAGATGGATGCCCGAGGCAGTTAACCGAGTGGAAAATCCAACCCAGCTGTTTCTTAAAGGAAGGCTGTGACTAGCTTTAACAACATGGCTGGGTTGCTGGTTACAGACTCCCTCATCTGTTTAATGTAGTTTTTTTTTTTTTCCCCAGATGAATAAGCAGGCACATTGCTAGGTCAGTTTTATTTTTTTACAAAAACACAATGTTCTTTCACAAACATTAGCTTGTTTCCATGAGTCTACTGGGTTGACCTTGGTGATGCCCTTGGGCTTTTTAAACAGTGGAAGGTAGTCCCCCTCAAACTTCTGTATTCCCTGCCCTGGCTTGCCTTTGTGTTGCCGTGTGCTTTGAGAATCTCTCGCAGGCTGTGGTGGAGGGCTGCTACTACGTAAAGAGATCAGCTCCTCAGCACTGCCTGGCTGGTTCCCTGGACCCGTGGCTGAGCCCTGGAGCTTCCTGCTGGGCAGTCATGAGGGTGGACCCCCTTGCCTAACCCTCACCCAAGCAGGGCCCCTGCAGGGTAGTGTTGCTTCTGAGGTCTGCAGGTACCATACTGTTTGATCCCCCTTGGTGCTTTGCTAGTGGAAGCTCTGAGCGGCAGCAGGCTGTGCTTTCTCGGTGCTCTCCTTAATGGAGCACGGCGTTATTTCTCTCCTGATCTTTCCATGGCTGGCAGTGAGAGGGTGTTCTCTCCTGCTGCTTTCCCTTTCCCATCCCTCGCTCGTTTTTAATTGACTAGAATGTTTATTGCAAGCTGGTGGGGGGGGGGGAGGATTTATGTAGTTGAAGACTTCATTAGTGAGCAGGGGTGCCGGCATTTGATTTATAGCAGTCGGTAAGCTTCACCCTGCAGAATAAAACACGCCTGCCCCCGGCAGCATGCTGTTTAATAGAGACCCTCTCCACTGGGAAAAACAGGGTGTTATTTACTAACGGCCGGAAGTGTTCGCCATGTTTTGGACCCAGCGGAGGTTGTGCTGTGGTTCAGAGGGCTGGGGCCGGTGTGCCTCTGAGTAGCTCAGCGGGGGGTAAGGGACGATTCCTGTCCAGGAGAGCGTGGGGTGGGGGGGCATCTCGTTTCCGTGGCGATGCCCCACTGACTCGAAACGGGCTGCTTGAGGGTACTCGTCTTCTCCGCCGTCTTCGTTGTGCATCAGACAGGTCTCAAAGCTGGATGTTTGGCGGAGGAGGAGGGGGGGGGCATCATTTTTCTCAATTACGTGTCTTTGTTGTCTGGGAGATGTCGGTGGCGAGGGATTGTAATTACCTTGTGTTGCTCCTGACCCAGGTTAATCTTCATTTTCTAATAACCCGTCTCGCGTTTCGTTAAACTGCTTTTTTGCGTCCTGAGGCGCTGTGTGCCCCACGGTCGTCATTTGTTTTGCTCCTTGACAGGTGAAATCCGGCTGTTGCTCTCTCCTACACCCCCCCCCCCTCCATGGTGCCTGTTCTGTTCTCTTTGCTGAAAGCCAGAGGTGGTTTGGTTTTGCAGGCCGGGTTACAGGGTGGGTCCTGAGCCCGGGTCAGTGCGCCCGTTGGGGTGGGAAGGGAGGAGGGGGAGCTGGTCCCGAGAGGGGGAAAAAAAAACCTTGTCGAGTTCTGAGAACAGCGTGGCTGAAAACTGCAAAGAATAAATTCAGGAAAGAAGCGTGAGCCTATGAGTTTAAGGGTCCAGCAGATGAACAGATTTATGGAAATAGGAATTTCTGTTAAGCAATTTTGAATGTGAAAGAGCAGATAAGGTGATCACATGAATGGGAATCAACAAGTTTGTGGATAGTTCTTACTGTTAGACCCTGTTAGGCAGGGTCTCTCAGTGGTCCTCTAGTTCTGTAGCCAGAGCTCCAGAGATTTTTGGTTTTAGTTTGGTCTCTGCCATTGTCTTGGTTTGAAGTGGGAATCTTCTACAGCACCTTTACCCATGAGCCTTGGCTCCCGAGCTGGGGTGTCCAGTCCTGGAGGGCTGGTGTGTTTCTGGGTCTTCAAGGTCTCTCTTAAAGCAGAAGTACCCGAGAGGTTGACTAGAGCATTGACAACTAGCGAGCAGCTGCTTTTGCTTGTTAAGAGCCAAGCTGGAAAGAGAACCTGCTGACAGCAGTGGCACCCCTGACCTAGAAAGATGTTTACGCTCTCTGATGAACTTCTGATGGTCTGTTCCAGGATGCCAAGGAAACTTAACTCCCTGCTTCTGTTCTTCAGGAAGCTGAAGCTCGGCTCTGCTCTGCCCTTTGTGCTCTTGGAGTGCCATGGGAAGCTGTTGTGTTGGTAAATCTGTTGCCTGATTAAATTCTCGTTGAAAGATGTTTGCCTCTTGTCCTGCTCTCCCATGGGACAGAGACCTGGGGCAGTCCTGATTGCGACAGTCCAGAAAATATTGTAACCTCCTCAAAGACTTCAACACACCAACCGGCCGGTGCTAAGGTGTCATGCAGAGCGTCTGCGAGACTCTACCGACGCTTTCAGAGGGAAGCATGATTCCAGACGCTTCAGGGTGAAGCTGGCATGTTGTGGGCACTGGGAACATCCTCCAGTCGAGCTGTTCTGGTCAAGCAACTGGCAGCTCAGTGGGCGATGGGTCCCAGGTTCCTCTGCTCTGCTGGTATGCAGGTGCGATGGATGGGGCTGGGTGCAGACAAGTCCAACAACACTATGCAAGATCTATAGAATCAAGTGCCTTCTACATGCTCATTTAAAATAGTCTGACCTGTTCCCTTTCTGGGTTTCTGTGATTTTACTAGCTCCCTTCTAGTGTGCTATTTCTGTTCTAGCTTCTTCTGGGAAAACATTAAATCCTTTTGAAATGTAAGTTTTGGGTGCAGCAGGGAGAAAGCATGAGGGCTGCTGAGGTCATGTTTTTTTGCTTAATTAGCCTGATGGCCTGGAGCGCACATGTGTGCTGTGGTGTAAGAGGATTGTTCTCGGGCTTTCATCACCTTGGGATCCTTGTTCCCTGATTTAAAGGATTACCTGGGACGGGGGTGGC